ACAAGCTGTTTCCTATTTTCTGCTAGTCAGGCTACCGAAATTGTCAGAAAGAAGGGATTTTGTAAATTTGAATGAATCCAAACATAGGGTTAATTTTTGACAAAAAAACTGACTGACTTTATTGACATCTACCTGTAGTGATGACAAGCTGTGTCTAGTGTTGAGTATCTCGTTCTCCGTAGAATCCCGTTAGCATTGGCCAAATTACAGGCGAACCATTTGCCTTCTTTGTTACCTCAGAGCCTAGACACAAATCAGTGCCTGTGCTTGTCATAACACCGGTTAGACAGATTTATTAAGCTAAAGAATGAACTAATTTGGACGGTCAATTTCTGCAATTACACGGACTCTTGTTACCCATTTGCCCACTAAAACATGCTGTATCAGTCGATTTTAAACAAATCCAATGAGATGCATTTTACTTTTAAAGTTGCTAAGTTGTGAGGATGTTTTGGCAAAGGTGCATACAATGCTGACCTCCTCAAGACCAAACATTTGCATGGAAGCTCTTGATGCATAGCAAGGTAGAAATGTTTTAACTGACACTTTGACCACCACAATTTGAGAGGCTCCTCTTTACCCTTAAGCCTAACTAAGGGTGAGTTTAAAGTACTGAGGACAGCGTCGCTACACTTGGGATACCATCCATTTCGAGGTATCGCAGTAGTTGGTTAAGGATGAAGGACGCTTTAGAAGGCAGACTATTCAAGAGCTTAAGGAAATTCAACAAGTGATGGCAAACATCTATACTGCGGTTGAGATGCCAAGACAAGTCAAGTGTGCGTATAATCCAAAACTACCTGGAGAAGTTGGGTTATGACACTATCACTGCTACCGATCTGCTTTCCCACTGCTTCAGCAACCAAAGCATCCTCGGCCTTGATTGGCTCATTTATGCAACTTTGACATTTTATTTATTCCCTCAGTAAACAAAGCTTTGTCAAAAGCCTCCCAATTAGTTGGTAGACTAGAGCAGGTACTGTGTATATTTTTGGAGTCATTTATTTCATCTTATGAACAAGCCTTTATTGTCAGGTCTGCAGCATCTTATCTAATAAAAGTAAACACACTTCGTGGCATCGGTAAGCAAGCAATGGTCTAAATAAGTGTGAGGAATTTGGAAGATCATATGCTCTATCAGTGCCTATCCTCTTCTTCCTTTTGTCTTGTTTATTAATAAGCATGTAAAACCTGTTTTATCATGAGAGATTGCGAATTCTCCTACGCACGCAAACCACACCTTCTCATCGTGATAATTGTGGCACGACCGCTCCGACAGGGCATTAGCTAACATGAATTTTACCAGAAGTCATTGACTTTTCTCCCATAAGCAAAAAAAACGGGTGCCTCCATTCGCCCGCTGGTAATAGGCAACGACTTCATTAACCAATCGTATTGGCAGGAAAATCGCACCATACAAAGTACACTTTTTTTTTCACCTAGAAATGAAGGAGGCAGTGCCGGTGGGCAACGGCTGTCCAGTGACCGCACCGTGGCCCTGCCAGCAGTACTCATTCTGCCTCTCCTTCGCCTTTGTATGCGACGGCGAGATCGACTGTCCCGATGGCTACGACGAGAATCCGCGTCTCTGTGTTGCAAGTAGGCCTTCTTCACACAGTAGATTAATAATAGATTGAAAAGGTTTAGCAAGGTAACAAGGGAAAACCAAAAAGGCTTTTTTAAATCATACTATACCATGTGAAAAGGAACCTCTACAACCTTGTGTTTACCACACTCAAGTGTAACAAAACTCCTCACCACATAGGGCTGAATAGATAAATATAAGGCAATTTTAAAGTACTGGAGCTGGAGTGCTGTTATAATCAAATAAGGTGAAAATAAAGCGCATTTAATAAAGGCGATAGGCTAAATCATAACTCGACGTCAGTTTGATGTAGTGGATTAAAAGTCTCTTCCATAAATTTTATGTTAGTCAGCTATGAGAGTAGCAAAATTTGGACGTTTGAGGGGGAAAATTACAACTAACAAGGGAGTGAGTAAATTCACTTAGAAATAAGTCAAGAGAGAACAATAGAAGCGATGAATTAACTCATGTATTTGGGTTTCAATTTATGAATAAAAGCACAGCCATTTAAAATGAAAACAAGGGTATTTTCAGAAAAAAATTAATTATTTTCGAATATCTTGACAACTTTGTGTTCACGAGAGCGCGAACAGTCTTCGAAACTGTGAATGGTCAAAGGAGAATATCCAGAACAGAGCTAGGAAGAACTCCAAAAACTTGTCCATCATTCAAAATCCAATTCACCACCTAAATTCTTTACTCGGAGAGATTTACCACGATCATTAAAAAGGGAATCCCGCAACACATATTTTACCAATTTTAAAAGTGCTTTAAAATACGTTTATTTAAATCAATTTAAGCCATGGAGAGATCGGATGGCCTTGGCGCCAAATATGAGAGGTTTGGAATGGCCCCAAATCACGAAGCGCGCTTATTTTGATGCTTGTATTAGAGCCATACTTATCGTAGAAGTCTACCAACACAACGCAGCCGGATAAACTTGAGAAAACAAACATTAAAGAAAATAACCTTAAAAGGTTGTTTTATTCAAAATTATGAGAAATTCGTGTTGTGGCCGGGAAGCGGCAAGTGTAAGATAAGCTTACAAAACGGTAAGCGGCTAGGTCATTTCCGAAATTAAGGCTGAGAGTTGCATGACGATGGTTATTAATTAGGAATCCTTGGCTGTCTTGAAGTTTAAAGGGGAAGCGACAAGAGAAATGTTGAAATCTGGAAGGATGGCTTTACCTAACCCGGGGGGTCATCCGTTTTGATGTGTACGATGTTTGTACTTTGTGTGGCAAGTTGAGCAATACCGCAGGTCTAAGTCAGTGGATCTCATTTTTTCCTCTTAGAAGTTGTGAAAACGCTAGGAAACGCAAAGTTCGAACTATCATCAGCGTACATTGACTTTGACCCCCCTTTTTTTCATTCAGCTCACGAGGTCCAAATTTTTAAGACATTTTTGTGTTTTCTTAATCAGATAAGAAGCAGAGTTTTGCTTTGTCTGGTTTCACATATACTGGAAAAATTTGGTCACTGAAATTACTCGTTTAGATTTCTCTCCTTCAGAATTCAAAATAGTTGAGAATTTGTGTAAGGTTTGTGAAATAAATCGACATTTTTGAACTATGTTCTGATGCTCGTGTACACATCTTTAGCGTTCTTTACGGCTTTTTATATGTCGTGCATATTATTTTAAATTTTACATTTGTAATTTTACTGCTGCACATTAATCCACGAGAGCACCGTGATTTACTTGCCTTCCTCTTGACCCTTCAAATCATGGATGTCTGATTTACAATTTCTGCCAAGTTTTTTATTCATTGTTTTGCTTTAGTATTAACATGGAGCGGTTGCCACGGCAACCAAGATGTATTTATTGGAACTAATTGATAACTAGGACAATTAAAGGGCTCTGCCATGCTAGAAACGTAAATTTTATTCCTGGTAATTATTATCTTTTAATTACGAATGCAATCTTGTTAATTTTCTACCTTAGAGAATCGTCCAGCCGTGGCTCTACTCGAGGGCTTTATAAGAAAGTACCGAGACTGGCTGGTACCCAAGTATTTGGGAGACGGAGAGACAAAATTCATAGCCTACAATCTCGCAAGTGAGTTTACTCTCTTGTATTCTTTTCCTTGCTATTTAAAAGAGTCAAGGTGGGAGATTGCTTAAACAATATTGTCTTCTCAACACACCCTGTATACATTGAAATTAAAAGCTTGATATTTACAATTTTAGCAACGCCCTTAATAAATTTTGTTATTGCGCTTTCACACAGTCAAAGAGGCGGTTTATGATACTGAATAAACAAAGTCGCATTACAAGAACGAAAGTACCGACTAAAATAGCCTATTTTGATGGTAATAACCCATTTCGGGTCCCCGGGGATGATCAGTAATTATGAAAAAAGAGCAAGGCCAAAAGCAGCATTTTTTAACTGTCATTGCAAAAGGGCATTTAGCTGGGAAAGCGATCACTAAAGTGTAAATTTGCGTCTTCCTTTCATTAAAAAATAGTTTAGTTGTTGAATTAAATTGTGGAACATTTAAAAATTCTCTCTTTCTGGCTAATTCTGGCAGCCAATTTAGCAGATGGTATGAAGGTTACTAGAAAAAAGCTGAGTAGGGAA